AACTGAACTTTATGGTTAAGTGCAAAGAACATAATATTTAAATAAATAAAAGTAACACACAAAATGTTAAAAAAATGCCCCTTTGGACATAAATTAAAATCTGAAACATTTCAGATTTTCTTTTCCCCCCCAAAGAATTTGGGAAGATGAAGAATTCTCAGGCCTTAGTTTCATCATGCTTGGAATTTTCTTTACAGTGGTCACTCACAAATTTTTGCACTAGTGAGAACTTTATGCTGACCTAAGAAAGGACCAGAGAGACCTCACATAGCCTCTGCGTAAAGGGGTGGATTTTTTTTTCCTGTTGCTAGTGTCGAACAGTTGGACAAACAGATTGGAATTCAAATGGGAAGAAGATGGACTTGTATTTCCTGTTTTACACAACTAAGGTTTGTAGGGTTTTATTTGAACAGATGCTTAAATGAATGTCCTTCATGCCCTACTAACTATTCTATTAACTATTTAAATTTAAAAGGCTTCACTTGTGCTTATGAAACAAAACCCTGTCACTTGTACATTTAAAATAACACAAATTCTAGTAACATAGTTGGAGACGACACAAATATTTCTACTCAAGTTAGCTCAAATATTTAATGCAGCACTTTTAACATCCATTCGCAAAATGGCTAAAGCTGCAATAAACTTTGGTAGAGCTGGTAATAGGATGTGAAATGCAACCAAGGCTTCCAAAAGCTCTAAAAAAATTAAATCCTTGGCTTAAATACTTTCGCAAATAATTTGCATTCTGGTGAGGATTATGGAAAGAGGTTATAGTAAAGGTTCAAGTCATAATAATTGGTTAATTAAAATAAACTTTGGTATTTATTTGAATAATTATTTTATAAATAGGTGAACTTGAGTAATACAGGTAGCTTCTTCAAGCAGGATCTTGCAAATGGAAAGAGGTATCTATGACGCTGAGAAAAAGAAAGCAAAGTATGATGATGAAAAAAGAAAATATGATGGTAACGAATAACCTCTTTTTAAATTTCCAATAATGTTTTGCTTATGGAGAGTATGAAAACATCAAAATTAAAAGGTATTTTAAAGCCACACACATCCTACATATCAAAAGAAAATTTCAAATGACTGTTAAAAATCTTCAAATAAAGAAAAATATTATTTTAAGATAATTATAACTGTTAGTGAAAAATATTTATTCATGCCATATGATATTTCATTGCTAAATATAAAAAGCCATGCATCACTACATTACCTGCTGTTATTTAAATGGCAGAAATACTTCACAAAAGTAAATATGGCGATGAAATTTGAAAAAATTGTTTGTCAAACATGGCTACCAATAGAATTTCTGAAATTAGCAATGACCAAATCAAGCAACTTAGGTAATGGGGCACCTTTGTCAAAAATTTTCCTATTCAGAATTTCACACTGTTTTCGTCCGTCCAGCCTTTCTGGTGATCATGAATGAAAACACCATTTGAAAAATTACATTTCGGCATCATGTGTCTCTTAAAAATTAACCACACATTTTTATATTTTTACCATTAATCCGCTGACTCAAGAAAGCTCAATATTTATAATTCAGTTGGAAGAAACAACTGATATTTCAAAAACAGCTCAGTTGTTAGTATACATCAATAAAGAAAATATCAATAAAGAAATGCTATATTTTTTGTCCTTTGGAAGAACATACAGGAAAAGAAGACATACATAGTAAAACATAAAATTTTGAAACTAAAGGTTTATAACAGAAGAATTTCATTGAAATATGCACAGATGTAAGCAATGAAGAAGTGCTTGAAATCTTTTGTTACAGTTGCTTGTAATGATCCTGTAAATTTTGCACTGCCTGCATCAAAAGGCCCTCGCAAAAAAAAAAAAAAAAAAAAAAAAAAAAAAGCAATGGAACTGAACAAATGTGCTTCAGAATGCTGTCAGCTGTCAGAATTATAAATTTTAATAAAAGACACTCTCTTAACAGCCATTTATTTTCAAAATCTCTGTAAAGACATTGGCATTTCATGAAAAAACTTATTATTATATACATAAGTAAAATGAATGTCAAGAGAGCAAAGTTAAAGAAGATTATTGTTATTAAGATATGAAATTATAATATTTTAAACAAAACAAAATTCTGATCTTGCTGTTCTTTTTCAAAATGACTTATGGCTGTTAAAGCTGTGCTATTTGTACGATATTTTTGAGAAACTAAACGATCTCATCATATCTTTTCAAGGGAAAAAATAACTATATATTTTACTAAGAATGATAAAATTGAAGGTTTTATCAAAACAATCAACATTATAAGAATAGGGTGAAAAATGATTCATGAAAATGGTTTCAACTCTTGACAGCTCTATAATTAAGAAAATTATTGTAAAACTTCTAGCTCTATAAGTTATTATTAGATCACGTAAAAGCCCAAGAAACACAGTTTTGCAAATACTTTACATCAAATTTTGAGGCCAAATTGTTATCTTGGGTACAAAAAACATTTTTGAGTTACAATAATGAGATTAATTACCTACCATATAAACAGCTCTCACAGAAGGAATTTGCCAAGCTATTAAATGACTCAGACTTAAAAGTTAAGTTCCCCCAAAAATTCTTTAAAGAATTCTGGTTCAAAGCTAGAACCAAATTTTCGACAATCTATGAAAGGGTATTAAATCTGAAATATCAAAAAAGACGTCTGTAGCTCATCACCACATATTTATGTGAAACAACTTTTTCAGCTTTATTTCTTATTAATGTAAATATTATTCAATGCTGAAACAAAATTTGATGCTTTACATCCAGCAGTGTCAGTTATTGCACCAAGATTTAATTTGCTATGCAGCCAAAAAAAGTAAGTACATTCATCTCACTAAAACATTTTCTTTCATTAATTTTTTTGTACTTGAAACAAACCTTAAAACTTCTTCTTTTCACATGTATGTTGTTTACTAACAAAGTAAATTATTTATGAGAAAATATTTACCGTATATTCTGGAGTATAATGTGAACTTTTAATACAAAAAATAAGATCAAAATTTAAGGGTGCACATTATACACTGGATATAAAAATGATAGATTTAAAAATACAGAAATGATGAGCATACAAAACTCAGATTTCTACATGCATTTAAATGATGTTTTTTAAAAGAAATGACTTACAGTATGAAACAGGGTATTATGAAAAGTTCGTCATATTAGTCTTCTATTATATCTTCAGGCACATCTTCAAATTCTGTTTCATCTTTACCATCATTATTACTCTGACCCATAAATAAATCATCTTCCACTCCATCTAGACTGTTAGATACAAAATATTTTTTAAATCGCTTTTGAGTTATGTTGCGTTTTCAATCACATACTATTTCTAGATTGGCATGACGCATCTGGGCTACTTTTGGAAATGTTTTTTCACTTTGTAGCATTCCTGTATTTCACTGTCATTTTAACATTTCTTTGAATGACTTATTCATACCCACATCTAAAGGCAGTAATAATGGCATTAATTCGCCTAGAATAACACTCCTTCAACAATTTCTTAATATTATCCGTTAGAGCATGTCCCAAACTACAGGACTTTCTGGATTCTTTAAGGCAATGGGGCACCTTCGTCAAACACTTCTTATTCATAATTTCACACTGTTTTCATTCATCCACCTTTTCTTGTGATCATGAATGAGAACACCATTTGAGAAATTTACATTTCAGCATTGTTTCTCTCTTAAAAATAACCATAGGTTTTTAATTTTTACCGCTAACTAGTTAAGATAAGTAATCTGCAAAGCAGAAAAGCACTATGGTGAAGTGAGATTTTTAGTGACTTGTTTTATGTGAAATGTTTTTGTTCCTTTTCCATCAACTGTTTTATTTCTTACCATAGCAAACATTACTAGAGTTCCATTTCTGTTTCCAATATGTGAATAGTATATGATGTTTTTCCGTTATGAGGTCAATAGTGTATTTCTGGAAACCTATCAATTTGTTGTCCAAATCTTTCAAAAGCCTTTGTGAAACTTTTATTTTTAATTCTAGAACTAAATTATTCCATGCTATAAACTGACTACACCAACTCAAAGCTGTTTTAAAGTTTTTACTTTCATTTGCATTCTTTTTTGACAACTTTCAGGCAAATAAACTTATGCTGTTTCTTGTTCCAATTAATCCATTCTGGTGATTTTTTAGGATACAGTTTGCAATACTTTCCTTCTAGAATAAGTCATTTGGCTATTCTTTCACACACACAAAAAATATTCTCTATTATTATTATGACTTCATTTGTCTTCCAATCGCTTAAGGAGCTTTCATCAATGCCAAACATCCTTGCTACAGCCCTAATTTCCACTTTTTTTGGAATCTGAATTGCATTTGAAACCAGCACTGAGTTTGTTTCATTTGGCAGAAACGATATTTACTATTAAAAGGAACACTAGATCTACTATATTTCCAGCTAAAGCAAATGTGCCTTCGATATTCACTTCGAAAGTACTTCTTCAAATGACCACAGAAAAGAAAACATCAGACTCCTAATTTAGCCGTTTAATTCAGGAAGTGCATTCTTACACCAAATTACATTCCCCTTTTCTCAAAACCTTAGAATACCATTCTTGTCCACACCTGCATTGAATATAACCCACCTTCTTTGCAGAAATTTACTCCTTCAAGCACTTCCCCCACACATACATTTCCCCCTTATCACTTGCCAATTCAGTATTTCATTGTTTGAAAGTCTGGGGGAAATCTTTGAATGAATGACTTAGGCTTTTTCGTAAAGAAAAAGTGCAAATTATGTTGTGAATATACCTAAAAATTTAAAAAAAAGTTTTCTGAAATTATAGATATGCATTATATGCTGGAATATATGATATTTTATATTTAATATCTGGGACTGCAAAAAAATCTCAATGATAAAAAGGGATCATGAATGAAAAGCACTCAAGAAGTGCTTGAATAGATCAACAATTAAAAATTTTAGACAGAAAATATACCTATTAATTTATTATGCTATTTAAAATATTAAAATTTAAAATATTCATTTTACTTACATTTACAGCTGCAATTGTTACCAAAGGTGTTAAATATAATGTTTTCCACATATTCTGAAGAGATATCCAAAAATTTCTCAGTCTTTCATTATTTGGTTTATACATTTCAGTAATATCCAGACCAGCAGAAAATACAGTAGGTGAATTCTTTAAAAGAAAAATAAAAAAATAAAAACAATTAACAATTGAAGTTTGATTTATACCTGATATTGAGGAAAGAAACATTGGGTATTTTACATACATGCATTCACTTTCATGGTATTTTTAAAGAAAATTATAAAATAGCTACGCTAAATTGCCTCAAAATGGGTTAGGTTATTTTTTTATGGGTTAGGTTAGGGGGGATTACTCATATTTTTTCCCTTACAGAGAATGAAGAATATATTAATACTTAAGAAAGAGTAAGTGCATTGTAAAAGCAATTTATCTCATGACTGAGATTCCCGCATGTCACTTTTTAACACTTGCTGGCTAGCGAATCACACCATGATCAATAATAAAGCATTGATGAAAGCTGTATTGATGTTGGCCTCTTGACCGCTCTTTCATTCTTGAATGGCTGTGAGGGGGAGTTACAATTTTTCTTCTATGTGAATTAAACAAAAAACGAAGCCTTAAGACCTCCCCCTTTTTTTAGTGGGATGCTGCTTATACTGGTTTTCTTTTGTTGGCGTACCAGAGGGAAAGGGGAAAAGAATTCCATTCCAAAGAACTTAAGTTATGTTAAAATAGCAAATTGCAATCTTCCTTTACTTTCTAATTTGATCCAGTTTATCATTTTTTCTAGGTTATTATTATTATTACAGATATTTTATTAAAACTACAGTTCAAATTTAATTTTGAATACACCAAAAAGAATTCCTAATTCATATAAACTTTTCCTAATCAGAAAAAATACGTTAACTCGGGCATTTGAAGGAGTACAGACCTTCCTCCTCATCTACCATTCAAGTAAAAGACCATGAATGACACAAATATTAATGAATGATTGATTTGAAAATTATTTCACACCCAGGGCTTAGCAATATTTGAAATCAGTTGTTTTACCAGATGACATGGAAATTGTCGATTAAGAGACTTCAGCACATAATTAACATAAAGTTTTAGTAAAAAGTCTGATGTGTACACTAAATGACTTCCTTGAATGGAATATTATATTGTTATGTAATTTTTTTCCTTTGGTACGTTCATTAGGGGGTTCGTGTGGATTTGGAGTGAATAACAATGACAGCACTTGATGGAATATCAAAACACACTTTATTAGTCAATATTATTAAGGACAGCTCCAAAGTCATCTTTTACAGTCGTTGAAGATCTACTATAAATTCACTGCAACAATCAGCAACACAGCCTTTAGGTTATCAGGCTATAACAGTGGAAACAGCTTCACTGAAAACTACCAGATTACAGCTCCCAACTCTACTTGGTCGTTTTCTCAACTCCACGTACTTTTGAGACTCTCCACACTACTCGACGACACACAGAGCACAGCTCCCGACTCTTCGGTTTGGTCGCTCCCGGAGCTCAACACACTCTCTCAACGATGCACTAACCATGATAAACTAAGAGGCTCTTTCGATGCACTCGACGATCCACTCGACACTTGCCCGGTTGTCAACTCGATCGACTCCGCATGGACTGACTAACTCGATGTACCAGCACAGTTTATATAGCCTTCGGCTTGTGTTCAAGAACACTCTGTGCTAAACCGGTAAGAATTCGTTCTAGAAGGTTCTCCATCCATCCATGGTATATTGCCAATTTTGTTGCCAAATGGGCGATTTCTTGCCAAATGTGGCAACCCTGTCTTCCCTTGCCATTTTGCAACACTAAACCTGCTTTGCGGGGAAGCTATCTTACCGCGTCTGGACATTTCGTAACAATATTATATGCATTTTTTTCCGCATTTCATTTAAACTTATTTCCTCAGATTTTATTAGATATAAATTTCTTATCCAATTAATTCAGTTCTCACTTCATAGCAAAGTAAAACTTCATAAAACTTCAAAACATCTTCATTAAAAATAGAAAAATATAGAAAAAGACAAAACACCAATTACAGTTAAAACAACTAAAAAAAAAAAAAATTTACAATTAAAATTAGAGTTTCTATGCAAAAACAAGCAATTCGGCCAGTGGGCAAAAGGGCAGATTTTTCGATGCACAAAACTTAGTTTATTTTTTGGTACCATTCACAAAAAACAAAACAAAACAAAACAAAAAAACACTGAAAGTGCAGAAGCTGACTTAATTCACTATTCTGCAAAGTTTCAAATGTAAACAAACATGGCTGCTATGGTAAAAAAAAGGCTTAGCCACACTTAACCCCTTCGCGACGGGTAGCGCAAACAGGCGCTTATCGCGGAGGCCGGCAGTGTCTTACGCGAGCGTCTGTCCAGGGCCGGGAGCTCTTTTGCTACTAAGCCTAAATCCATGAAATTTTCGAAGTATCAAAGCATTGTTTAATAATGCTCTATAGAGTATTTAAACGGCTGTATGCTTTATAGATATTTTTATACTATATACTTTAATTACCTTATTTCTTGTTTAAATGCATATTTTACACATTTTATTTTCATTACTCACCATTTTATGATTTTTAACATTATACATCTGAAAGCTAAATATATTACTTAAAATTCTCTTTTCGTATGAAAAATTTGAAAACAGGGATCTAGACATGTTACATTCCTTGCACTCGTAATAACAGGGATAAAAGGGGCACAAAATGTGAATTTAATAACAGGGATCTACACACGTTTCATTCCTTGCACTCGTAATAACTTATTTGCCGTTTTGGAGGATTTTTCCGGGAATGTGAACAAACGAAGCATCGTCGCCTACCACGTGCGAATAAAGTGCGATTTAAAGAGACGTCATAAATCACGCCAATCGGAAACATTTATTTTCCCGTTTGTTTATATAATCAAAAACACGTGTATGTGAGTCATGCTTCTCTCATTTCGAGTAGAAGGTCTAATGTACATGTTTCTGAAACCATATGGACATACAGTGCCATCTTGTGGCAGAAATTATAGTTTTAAAAACGTTTCAGGAGACTGGCACAGATACGTGACAGTCGGCGCTCAGTGGGAAAACACTCTGGCACGCCTGCGTGTCGGCCGGGAGGTGAGTGTGTTCGTTGCTGGCACGTAGACGTGACAGTCGGCGCGAAGGGGTTAAACAACTTTTAAATTGTCGATAATTCAACTATTGCATGCAGATTAACTAAAGGCATAAAAAGATAAGAGCAACATAAGTCAATCATTTTTAAATCAAAAAATGCACAATTTACCAACATATATAAGAATTAAAAAAAAAAAAAAAACTGAGCTCACAGATCCTAGTAACAAGAGTGGGTGTATATATATATATATATATATAAGATAAAAAATATTAAAGAAAACTTCTAAATTTAATTCACTATATCCTCTTTTATTTTTAATTACATTTGGGAACTTTATCTCTCTGTCCTAAAAAAAGCGCTGTAAGTCTAAACTGCGTCATTCAAATTAATCGTGATTTTACGTAACCCTTACTGCAGATGCCTCTTGACCAACAACCAAATTGCAAACCAAAACTAAAAACTGAAACTTTTGACTCCCTCCCTTCTTTCTATGAACTGATGCACCACTCTTGCTTGTGCTTTTCTCTTGGCCAGATGCCTGTCTGCAATCATGTGTGTGCTGCTATATTCTCTTCTATGGCAATAATATCAAAAATTGTAAATGTTCTTTAATAGGCACAAGTAGAGTGCAAAGTAATTGTGGGCACAAAATGTGAATTTAATTAAAAAAGGAATTTAATCCGGCTCGACTGCTTCTTCTTCAAAATGGATGGATGCTCTAAGTATCTATGCAATCAGTATTTCTATGCATCTACGTTTCAGTGTTCTTATTTCAGTTCAGTGCCTCCAAAATTGTTCTGTCATTACATTCTTAGGCCAGTTCTAATTATGAAAAATTCTACACGAGTTTATTATTATGTCCACAGTGAATCATGGGAAAAGACTTGTTTCACTGGAAATTTTAATGCAAGTTTGTACCGCATTCACAATCAAATCATTCATGTCGTGTCATCGAACCACAGTTTCATTACACATATTTATATATACTTTTGAAGTGACCGATTGCAACCGAAAAGGGAGGTGCACAACTGTATGTTATAGCAGTGCTGTATATGAAATTTCAAAGTTCTGAGGCTACTTTTTTTTTAATTATGTGAGATACATACATACAGACATTATGAAAAATCTCTTCTGAATCCATTTTAAATCCTTTCTGCACCCCGTTTAGGGAAAATAGTCCTTAATTCTGTCCTTATGTACAGATATCATGCAAAAATACCATTAAATTGCATTCATAAAATATTGTTAAATGCAAAACAGGAGTCATAAAAACGATGAAAAGTTTACACCATATGAACTATATAAAGGACGCAAGCCTAACATTACTTATCTTAAAAGATTTGGATGTGAAGCATATGTGCATATAAGACAAGAAAAACACAGAAAGATGGAGCTAAAAGCTACAGCATGAAGAGAAAATCATACAAAATTTATATTCCTGAACTAAATAAAATTCAAGAAGTGAGAGATGTAAAATTCATTGAACAGAAACTTGGATCACCTTTACTAGAAGAAAATTATTTAAAATTCGATAAAAATCAAATATTAGAACTTATTATTTTTTAGAAGGAACAAACTAATGGCAGTGTAAACAATTCAGAAATTACTGACAGATACCATACAGAAGATAATACAACAGATGAAGAAGCTGAGAAAATTTTGCTAACCAATACTGATAATGAACATGACAATAACAATTAATTGGAAAAGCCAACCGAGTATCCACAAATAAATGAAGAATCTGGAAATGATAGTCATGGAAATTCTATACAAAAAAGACCTGCACGAATGACAGTCCCCAGAAAAACTAAAAGATTCTCTAGTACACAATACAAATGAAGAATTACCTAAGACGTATAAAGAAGCTGTAGAATCAGCTGAAAATGAATTCTGGCTACATGCAACGATAGAAGAACTGAGTTCAATGGAGGCTAATAAAGTCTGGGAACCAGTTGAAAGACCCATCGATAAGAAAGTTATTTAAAAACCGCTAGATATTCTCAAAAAGGGACGAAAAGGG